AGTAGTGGAAAATCCTGTGTTCTGTATTGTGTTACATTTCATCCTGTGCTGGATTATTATTGAGTAATATGTGTGTCCCGCGGTGATAAATAGAGAGCATGACTGTGAGCACGTGATCCGTCTCTGTGACTCAGCTGGAACAATACACATTCATTCTTACAGAGCTGCCAACACAGCCAGCTCCCTCCTCCCTCCCCATCCCCAGCAGCTGCTTTCTTTCCTGACCTCCATCTACTCCTGCTACCGAGACATCACATTACACAACAATTACACTTCATTAAAGGAAAACTCAACTTTCTTTATATGTATATATGTTTCATATGCCATATATATATATATTCAGTGGTGTCACAAGGGGGGTGCTTGGGGGGTGTGGGCCGCACCTTGGGTGCCACCATTGCAGGGGTGTCACCAAAATGACTGACATCCATTTTGGTGTCACCCCCCTCTAAAAAGTTGGGCACTCAGTCATGGATCGAGAGCCCGACAGTGTCAGGAGAGAGGAGGGGACACGGCGGCATAGCTCATCCCGCCGGGTGAACGTCCCCTCCTCTCTCGGCCGGCCTCCATCACCAAGATGGCAGCCGGCAGGCATCAATCAGATGGTCGCGCATGCAAGATGACGTCATCGCGCATGCGCCAGGTGACGTCACGCGCACCCATGATGACGACACGGTGCGGTGTCACCCGTTCTAGAGACCGGGTGACACCTGGCCTCGGGACGCCCCTGTATGTATTGATGGCATACAAAACTGCTGACTCCACAAACACGCAGGCACCGCAAGGCAAGCAATTCCCCTTTCCCTGCTCCTCCTTCTTCCCTCCTCCAAGCTAATAGATGGACAGCTGCTGTGACCTTGTACTGGACAGGAAGTTCAGGGAAGCCGAGCTGAGAAAGTTGGAGTCAGCTCTTCAGAAACACAATGGGGAAAATGTATCAAAACTGGAGCAGTTGCCATAGCAACCAATCATATTCTCTCTTCAGCTTGTTCAGTTAGGCTTTAAAATGTTGTAAAAATTTGAAGGAGCGTGTTGGAATTTTTTTCTCGATAAACAGTGAACGTGGTTTTCATTCGGAAAACTCCATTCATTCATTTACATGTTAAATAAAAACGAAAATCAAACTAAACATCGAATGACAATGGCTAAGCCTCTGTTGGCATTATCGAAGGTTCCGACAAGATTTTTCATATGAACGTTTGTGTGAAAATCTACCCGTGCATTGTACTTAAGTGCTTGGGCAAACATTTAAAGAAATACTTTGCTGTATATTTGTGTGATCCGGATTTATTATTAAAAAAAAATACGAGGTTATTACTACTTGAAAATAGAACTGAAGCCAAAGCTTTTTTTTTTAGTTTTGGATAGACTAAGGGAGGGTTATACCCCTTATTTATGCCAACTGTATACCAGTGGAGGGATTTCCTCACTTCCTGGAGTTTGCCCACCCCTGGAGGGTAAGGTCAGAGAAGGCCCGTTCACGCTAGGCCGCTCCAGTTTAGCGGGCAAGTAAGTATGTTGTGGCAGCTTTAAGGCCTTGACACACTGCACGCGAAGCCGTGCAGAGCGAAGCAAAGCTATCCGGCACAGAGCTTTGCGTGCAGTGTGTGAGCTGAGTGCAGTCAGATGATTGACAGCACCTTCAGCCAATCGGCTCGTCTGTAACAACCTGCCAGCTTCGCATGGCGACGCACTGGTTTATACGTGCGAGCCGATTGGCTGAAGTTGAAATTGTTCATCTCGGCACGCTCAGCTCCGCGAGCTCTCGCAAGCTGAGGTGCCGAGCAGAAAATGACATGACACACTGCTCGCAAAGGCAGTGCGCCCCCGCTCCGCGCTGCTTCGCGTGCAGTGTGTCACGGCCTTTAGAGGTGTGCTGGGTCACTGTTTACATTTTTTTAAACTTTATTGGTAGTGTACAATATGTACACCCTATTCAGGTCCCCGCACAGCAGCGTAGTGCATGCCTGCATGTTTCTGCATTGTGGTGTGAACAAGACACATAGATAACAATTGTTCTCCATTCAGCTTGATAACTGAACAAAAACAATCTAACCGTGTATACCCAGCTTTATTCTTTTCAGTCAGGTCAGAGCTGACCCATTGACATTGCAACACTACTAAACAAGACATACGACCTGCATATGCAGTGGCGTCACAAGGGGGGTGCGGCTCGCACCCGGGTGCCCCCATTGGAGGGGTGACACCAAAATGACTAACAGTCATATTGGTGTCACCCCCCTATGAAAAGTTGGGCACTCGGTCACGGACCGAGAGCCCGACAGTGCCAGGAGAGAGCAGGGGACCCAGCGAATACTTCTGCCTCCCAGCCGGAGCAGGTGTATGTGCTCTTGCTAAGAAGTGCTTCTCATTCAGGTCAGGGGACTGCAGTGACCAATGAATGCTCGCCATTTTCGAGCAAAATTCAAACTACAGAGCGCAGGGTTGCACTACGCAGCAGTACGGAGTACGGATAGCACACCCACACCGGCAGGGGGGAATTCACCGAGAGGTAAGTATAACGGCTGTGGGGGAATTCTGGTTTCCCAAATTCACTTGGGAAAGTGGAATTACTCTTTAGATTGTAAGCTCTCACGGGCAGGCACTCCTTACCATCTTGTCTTGAATTGTATGGTAATGTCTTCATTATATTGTAAAAGGCTGCATAGACTGTTGACGCTATATAAATCCTGTATAATCAGACATCCCAACCTGCAAAACCTTATTTCAGGGAGAAAATGCCTCTCTCGCGGACATCAGGGAGCCGCTATCTAATAGAGGGAGACTCCCTGAACATCAGGGAGACTTGAGATCACTGTATAATAATAATAGAGGAAAACTCTCATTAAAGAAAATGCGGGGAGCCGCCAAAATCTGGGATAGTTGCCTATGGCAACCAATCAGCTTCTCTCTTCTTCAGTTAAGCTTTGAAAAGGAAAGATAAAAGCCGATTGGTTGCCATGGGCAACTGGTCCAGTTTTGATCAATTCCTCCCAATGAATGGACATGTAACACGTGCTACTGCAAAACTGCTCAAAAGTTTGCTTCAGCCCTTATTATTTGGTTTTTGGCTACCAATGTTAGCACTTTTGGCTTATATGGAAGGATCCAATTACAAATGTAAGCAATTGGACTGTCTGGAAAATGCTGACCATTCGAAACACCAATCATACGGTGATCCAAGCAATCGATCAACTGTTGTGTGGCATTGTCCGGCAACGGTTATTGGGTCTGAGCGATTAAACAAAAATGGATGTGCATAACGCAAGTATACCGACTACAGACAAAATTTGGGATAGCTGGCCATGGCAACCAATCAGCTTCTCTTTCATTTTCAATGGTTAACTGAACAAAATGAAGAGAGAAGCTGATTGGTTAATATGGGCAACTGCTCCAGTTTTGATAAATCTCCCCCAATGAATTTCTTAGAAAACAGGCGAAAACTGGCTCATGACAACGAAATGAAATCAATAACACGAGGGATGCCATCACGTGGTGTTGTGTGTTTCATCTCGCAGAGTCATATACGCACACGTGACCCTGTTACACTTGTACGGCTCCAGAGCAGTCCCCGCGCATGCGCACAACATACCCATCTGCAACCCTCTGCACTGCGCCTGCGCAATACTCGGCCGCCTCCCACTTACCCAAGGGAGCGTCACCAAATTCCAATCCCAGCGTCAGCCCAGGGACCCGCTGACAAGTTCTTCTCACCAAGCCGTCTCCTTTGTCTCCCCCCCCATCAATCAGTAAAGTGGGGACAGCCCGGCGCCGCTGCAGCTCATTGTGGGGGGGGACAGGCAATGGAATAGACAGCTGCATTTCCCGGCATGCTCAGTGACCCCTCCGGAGAGCTGATGCTCAGGCGAACAGGAGCAGGGGAGTGATCAGCAGGAATTCCCGGACCCATCACCCCGATCTCCAGGAGACCCCCCAGCCCTCCACTCCTGCAGCCATGCCTCTCTTCACCACCAACCCCTTCGATCCAGATGTTGGTAAGTCATTGTCTGCAACTTTTGGGGTCCCAGCCCCTCTTCCCTCTAGACTGGGGGTCCTGTGTAGTCCTAAAGGGGACCTGTCAGAATCAGAGTACCTGTGCGAGAAGCCTCAGATGGCTGCAGCTGCTGTCTGCGCTCACAGGCAGCTTCCATCGGAGGCTTTTCACCTAGGTGTGTTTCTTGGTGGTGACTTCCTTCTTAATAAGAGAAAAGCGCACAGAGTGATGGCATACTACAGAATTTGAGAGTTCTTGTCAACCAATGGGGTATTAGTTACGCCAGGAAACCACATCGGGTAAGGATGAGCGGTTGCTATGGGTTACCGCACTTCGCACAGCGCTGCGTGACTTCCGTAGGGTTCATCGATGGGCGGGCGTTCTGCCGCGTCCAAAGAAACGCAAAGCAGGAGAAATAGAAAAAAAAGCGCAGGTTTGACCTGCAGGCCTGAGCGGTCATGTGACCTGCCCAATTCAAGTCAATGGGGTTTAGAATGCAGGTCAGCAAAATCCCACTGACTTGTTCAGGTCACCTGACCGCTTAGGCCTTCAGATCAAACCGGCGCTGTTTTAGTTTGACCTGCGTTTCTTCGGACGCGGCAGGTCCTGTTGCGCTTAAAAAGAAAAGCGGGTCACACGCAGCCTGTTCTTGTCAAACGCCGCGGCTTCCGTTTTATAGCAGTTGCATGCGTTGGAGTGGAAAATGCAGACACGCGCCATTGCGATCCTTGGGCCTTGTTAGCACTGCGTCCATCGAGCTTTATAGAGAAACGCTAAGGGTGTGTAGAGAAGAATTATTTTCTGTGGGCCTTGTTCACGACATAATGCTGCACTTCTACGAAACGCAGTTTAGCGTAACACAGCATCGCGTTTGTGCGCATTTGACTCGTGTCCTTGCGTGAGGAAAAAAATGCCGCCATTATCAAGTAAAGGCAACGCAAGCCTGCCACACATTTTTAATGCGTGTGGGGGCCCATGTCGACGTGCGTTTGGATCGTACATCAAACGCAATCGGCAAGATCGCATTGGCTTTAGACACGGCAGTTCAGATGCTGCATTTCACTCTGTTTGTGTTACACTGCGTTTCCTTGGACTCGGTGCGTCCTATTGAGGAAAATCGGGTCACGTACATTTTCTTGTGAAACGCAGCGTATGCGATTACATTCGGATAGCTAACGCAGCGTTTGAAAAGAACGCCCACCAACCTGAGGCCTTGAGAGTGAGGAAGGATTGGTTCTCCTGTCAGGCTTTTACTCTTGGCTGTTACCATTTAGGGAAATTTCCCTTCACTTCCTGTCCCGGTGGCCATCCTCACCAGTAAAGGAAGTGAGGGGAAAATCAGGACATGGCAGCAGTGAGGTCCTGACCTTCCCAGGAGATATCGTAGCTGTGTGTTTCAATGGAGGAGATGTGCCCATGGCGGCCTTCATTTCTGTCCTGTCTCCCTCACCAGTCACATGTATTGAGGGTATTGTCCCCCGTGGGTACCCAGACAAAGGTGGAGGGATCCAGCTTCCTGTCTTGGTGACCACCATCACAGGGACAGGAAGTGAAGGCTGATGCCATTCAAAACAACACAGAAGCGTTTTGGCTGGACTTCACTTTAGGCCTCATTCACACGAGAAATGGCCGGCACGTACAGCTCTGGGCACGGCTGTATCGGGCAGCTCCCGGGAAGGACAGGTGCTGCGTGTGATTTAGTACGCAGCCCCTGTCCTTCTCTATGGGAGTACGCGGCCGTATATATATAATATATCGCTCATCCCACTTGCCACTGCAATGTACCCCCCCCACTTCCAGGTGCCACTGTAATATACCCCCCCCACTTCCAGGTGCCACTGTAATATATCCCTTCTGGCTGATCAGTGTACAGCTACGAGGCTTAATAATAATAATAATAATAGTAGTGCCTAGGCAACCCCATGTACTTCACTACAAATAACATTTCTAAATGTTCCCTATAACATAGTAAATCCCGAGTTCAGCTCTACTATTAATACACTATATTGCCAAAAGTTTTGGGACGCCGGCCTTTACACGCACATGAACTTTAATGGCATCCCAGTCTTAGGCCCCGTTCACATTGAGCGATTTATCGCGCGATTTTTGTAGCGATATCGCTCATATTTCCGCACTATATCGCTCTATGTAGCTTCACCAATACAATTCAATGTAGCTGTTCACATCTCGTCGCTCAATGTCGCTCAATATCGCTTGTAGCTCGTCGCTGGTAGCTTGTCGCTTCTACATGACCCTTTTTTAGAGCGATATTGCTCCTGATTGCATACAGCCCAAATGGAAGATGTCGCGCGACACGTCGCTCAACGTCGCGCGATTTGCATGTCGCTCAGTGTGAATGGGGTCTTAGTCTGTAGGGGTCAATATTGAGTTGGCTCAGCCCTTTGCAGCTATAACAGCTTCAACTCTTCTGGGAAGGCGTCCACAAGGTTTAGGAGTGTGTCTATGGGAATGTTTCACCATTCTTCCAGATGCGCATTTGTGAGGTCAGGTACTGATGTTGTATGATGAGGCCTGGCTCGCAGTCTCTGCTCTAATTAATCCCAAAGGTGTTCTATCGGGTTGAGGTCAGGACTCTGTGCAGCCAGTCAAGTTACTCCACCCGAACTCGCTCATCCATGTCTTTATGGACCTTGCTTTGTGCACTGGTGCGCAGTCATGTTGGAACAGGAAGGGGCCATCCCCAAACTGTTCCCACAAAGTTGGGAGCATGAAATTGTCCAAAATGTCTTGGTATGCTGATGCCTTAAGAGTTCCCTTCACTGGAACTAAGGGGCCAAGCCCAACCCCTGAAAAACAACCCCACACCATAATCCCCCCTCCACCAAACTTTACACTTGGCACAATGCAGTCAGGCAAGTACCGTTCTCCTGGCAACCGCCAAACCCAGACACGTCCATCGGATTGCCAGACAGAGAAGCGTGATTGGTCACTCCAGAGAACACGTCTCCACTTCTCTAGAGTCCAGTGGCGGCGTGCTTTACACCACTGCATCCGACGCTTTGCATTGCACTTGGTGATGTAAGGCTTGGATGCAGCTGCTCGGCCATGGAAACCCATTCCATGAAGCTCTCTACAGACTGTTGTGCCAATCTGAAGGCCACACGAAGTTTGGAGGTCTGTAACTATTGACTCTGCAGACAGTTGGCGACTTCTGCGCACTGTGCACTTCAGCATGCGCTGACCCCGCTCTGTCATTTTACGTGGCCTACAACTTCGTGGCTGAGTTGCTGCTGTTCCCAGTTGCTTCCACTTTGTTATAATACCAGTAACAGGTGACCACAGAATATTTAGTAGCAAGGAATTTCACGGATGGGCTTATTGCACAGGTGACAACCTATCACGGTACCACGCTTGTATTCACTGAGCTCCTTAGGCCCGGTTCACACCTGGGCGTTTTGTAGCGCGTTCGAACGCTCTGCAAAACGCTCAAACACCGAAATCCCATTATTTCCTATGGGTATGGTTCCCACCTGGGCGTATTACAGGCCGTATGAACGCGCTACATAACATCCTGCGCCCAAAGAAGTACAGGAGCTTCTTTGGGGCGTTTTTGTCGCACATTTACATTGGGATACAGCCAAGTAGCCCTCGGAAACACGCGTTTGTCTCACGGTTTTTGCCGCGAAATGCGCAACAAACGCGCACATTCGATATTCCTAGGTGTGAACCCAGCCTAAAGGTGCCCATACACCTTACGATTATGGGACGAAACGTTTCGTCCGATCGAATAGTCGTGCGATTTTCGTACGGCAGCCCCATCCTGCCCCGATGATCGCAAGATTCATTTAGCCGTAATTAACGAAAAGCACCTGGACGAAATGCGGGAATTGATTTGTCGTATTTTCGTTAGCGGAAGCGCAGTGTAGATCGTACGACTTTTGACGGACGGAAACGCCGGCAACCTTACGAAATTCGTACGATCTAGCAAAGTTTTCAAACATGCTTGACCGTCAAAAGTCGTACGCTGGTACAGTAACGTCGGTCGGACACTGCAATGCACACATACGAAAATCGTCCGATAATCGGAAGGTGTATGGGCATCTTTAGAGCGACCCATTCTCTCACAAATGTTTGTAGAAGCGTCTGCATGCCGAGGCGCTTGATGTTATACACGTGTGGCCATGGTGGTGATTGGAACATCTGAATACAATGATTTGGAGGGGTGTCCAGAGCGGCAAGGTACCGGTGTCAATTCCTGTGTGGTGTATGCTAAGGTACATCAGTGCTGCAGACTTCAGTTGGCATCAATGTAAAAGCGCCAGTGTGCGCTGTCCTGAGTCCATGTAAGTACATTGACCACTCTATATGCAGCACTTTCATGGGTACACTTCCACTGCCCTGGTAATGGCATCACTGTAATGTCCCTACCATATACCATCATGCTGCAAGACTTTTTTATGTCATCCCACCTGTATGGGAATCGAGGGAGGAAGCCGGCATTTGAGCCTGGGACCCTGGTGCTGCAAGGCAGTGATCCTTTGCCCCTGTGTTACCATACTGCCTATGGCGTCATTGTGAAGGGTTGTTGTCCCCTTCCATAAAAGAGTTCAGTGTTTCGGCCGGACAAAAAGCAGATCCATAAATACATCAGTGTTACAATGGTAAGAGGAGATCTCTGGATGCTCCATTCAACATCAAGTCACAGGCAATTGGAGGAGCTTGTGCTGAGCCGCAGCCTCCAGCAGTGATGCATTGAATGGGGCCTAAGCACAGTCAGCACCAAGTTCCCACCGGGGTGGGGGGCACAGTCAAGGCTGTACATCTTCTGGGTTTTAAAATGTTCTTAACCACTTAAAGACCAGGTGTTTAGACCCGCTTCCTGGCCAGGCCATTTTTCAGTGTTCAGCGCGGTGGTACTTTGACATTTACTCCGTCATGCAACGCTGCACTGAAATGAATTTTTATACCATATTTTGGGGACAGATAGAGCTTTCTTTTGGTGGTATTTAATCACCTCTGCGGGTTTTATTTTTTACTATA